GTAACACAACGTAAACTACCTGCATATGCCGATGATCATCAGTTATACTCTTCAAATGTTGACCAAGTAGCCCTAGAGGACTGTATTTGTCGTGAAGTGAGAGTTGCAAACGAGTGGTATTGCAGCAATAGAATGATTGTAAATTAGACAAAACATCAGGCTATCGTCTTGGGAAGAACAGGCCACTCCTTCTCTTTTCCATTGAAAGATTCTTTGGATGTATTTGGAACAAATATTGACAATAGCCGCTGTGTTTCGATAATTATATATCAGCTATTTGTAAAAAGATAAATAGTCTGTTTAATGTGATGTTAAGATTTCGTAAACTCATCTCTAAAGATACTCTTTTAAGATTATATAAGGCTTTAATTTATTATGCCACACTAACTATTGTTCGCGAATCACAGTGCGACTGGTTTGCTAAACCTAGCATTCCTTGGCACATCACAGTGGCTTTTACAAGATCAGAAGCAAATGCCCCGCTTGAGAAGCTCACTTTTGTCCACCTGTTTCAGAGCTGCCCTCAGGATAGCGTTTCAGTAACTGCCATTTTACAAGATGTTATTGAGAAGTTAAAGGAGCATCGGCCGTAACTGCAAAAAGTGTATTGCAAACAGGACAACCCACGATGTTATCATTCTGGCTCAACATTTGTAGGAAGCAGATTAAACAGTCTTTCTGATGTCAAGGTTTAGAGGTTCCACTTTTCAGAACCACAAGTGGGTAAGGAAGAAGCCGACCGCCAGGCAATGTAACGATGCCTACTTGAACTAGGGGCACGATCTGAATAACGCTTCGGGAGAAACGCTGCACAGATGAAAGCAGCCATGGAATCAAATGGAGGAATTCCTGGTGTTATTATCAAGTATGTGAAGCTTTCCGAAGCACCTGCTGCAAAGACTGTGATCAAATGGGACGGAATTAGTGCGCTTAACAACTTCCAGTTTTTTCCAAAATTTAATTTGATGGTATTACAAAGAAGGCTTATAACATCGGGACCGGAAAGCTGGCACCATGGAAAGACATTCAAATCTGTGGCATCTTTTCCGATACGTTCGAAGTTCAGGAACCTCCTGATACACGTTCTTAGTTAGGCTTTAGAAAAATTAATCCCAGAACAGAAGACCTGCAAAAATTTATGTCAGAGCAATTTAGTTTTCCGAGAGAAAGAGGAAGTAAGAGGCCTTTTTAGCCTTCCAGAAGATGGGCCCATGTATTCAGACAAGCGAGTGTTTGAAAAGGAACACTAATTCAGGACAAGGCCAGGAGAAAACACTCTGCAAGAGTAACTGGAGAATAAACGAAAGTTGCAGCTGTTGGTTTCTATACGGCATCAGAACGCTCAGTAGTAGAACTACTTTCCCCACTTGAGATGGGATGTACTCTTAAAAAAAACAGGGAGTAGAACTCAGTTTACAGAAGGACAAAGAAAGTTCCCGACAGACCAGTTTCTTATCGGGGAGGACTGTGGTAAAAAGGCAGATCCACAACAGGTATCGCAAGAAATGCGAAAGTCAGGGATGACACGAGTGCTCGTCTATTCAGTGAAAAAGATGTCCTATCCCCAGCAGGTGGCAGGTTTCTTCTCAAGACGGGACGAAGATACGGAAAACGTCAGTGACACCTAGAACGAAGAACGTGAAAGTTAAGACGAAGAGCAGCAGAGTGCAGTCGAGGCAGATGCCCTACATTTGCACCTACAGGCAATTGTAGAAGAAGAAATTGTTTTACGTCACCCGATTGTCGCCCTTTCGCGTAACATTTGCAATTTGGTTCATACAAAAAACTTATCTACCTTACCGGTTGCTATGCTGAGGGTCATTTGTGAAGGTATTGGCTTAAACGTAAAGGAGGTCACGGGGAAAAGGAAAAAGCCACTTACAGGTCGTATTACGCAGGTCGTTAAGGAGTGCTCTTTGCTCGAGTGTGATCGGTGTAATGCTAAAAACCGACTAGAAATGACGCATACAGATCATACCTATCTCTATTGCAGCAGTCAAGCTAAGAAACGCTAAGCTTTTATCCATTGTTTTACCTAATTACAACTATAGCTTTTAGGGACTGCAGAGCTGTGGGGCTGGTTGGGCTACATGATTTCAGAAGCTCTCAATCTCAAAATTTTCCGGGGGAACATGCCCCTGGACCCCTCTAGACAAACTCGCGCCTTCAGCGCTCTTTAAGCTCGTGCTACGTGTAGGTTAGCCCAACCAGTTCAAAATAAGAAACGCGGTCCCTGGCTAATCCCACCTTATGAAAACGCGGAACTGCTGTCCTGCCATTGCAAAGTTAATGTCAAACGTTATTCTTTGCTGACTCGGTTGTAGACAATTACCGCCGAAGTACGGTGCTTTTCTTGTTGCTTTTTCTTTACATTGGGTTTAATTACAGTTAAATTTGGCTAATCTAATATATAAAAGTTTGATTTTTTAGTGATAAGCTGTGTTAAAATATGTGACGGTCCATTCCGTAGCGGTGACTTCTGTTTTTCCTGTCTCGGTAA